GAATTTCATCCATATTTCCTATTTGACCGAGCTCAAAGGAAGTTTTCTTGTGTGCATTTGTATGCACGGTATAAAACCTATGAAATGCTACTATTTTTTCTTAATAATCTGCTGGCATTTTCTGTGCAATAGTTGTTTTTGTTTGCATTGATAAGCCTTGCCTTTTCATGAACCTGTAGCACCAGCCCTGAGACCCTGAAAAATTCTGATTCCCATAATTTTCTGCAAATCCTTTGGCCTCATTGATTACCATTTTGGTTGAAACACTTATCCCAGATTTCCTCTTATCTATCACCCACATTTTTACTTCATTTTCAATTTCAGGCCAAGATGGAGCTGGGCATTGAAGGTTATGTTTTAGTTTTTTAGCAGTTTTCAGTTGATCTTCCTGCAGTCGCCAAGTACGTATAATTTTTTCAGTAGGTGGTGGACCGAAATGCCTTGCTGCTGCTCTGTTTCCATGCACTTTGGCATAGTTTAACACTTCTAGTTTATACTGAATTGTATAGCTTAATCTCTTGTTTCCTGTAGTCATATTTTCCAGGGTATTTTTTTTTAAACAAATAGTTTTAAGCACCGATACAGACAAACATTTATACAGAGTAGCACCGATACCGACATGTGTATCGGCTGAGTCAAAGAAAGTCTATGTAAAGAAGGAAAGGCTCCATAGACGTAATGTGATAGTCGAACCTGTTCGAACTTCGACATCAGCTTCGAGCTTTGATGCTTTTTGGCGACATATATTTCATGCATGCGCAAAATAATTATGGCAGATTTAGAAAAGGTTATGTGTGTCTAGACCTTTATCTGTGCTAAAAATAGCATTCAGTATTGAAAGTTAACCTGTGTCCTTCATGTATAAGACGTCCTTCATGTATAACTTTTGAGACCAAATTTAGGGAAAAAAGTGTGTCAAATACGGTAATTTTGCTTATGTTAAAGTTTTCATGGAACCACAGTATTTAAGCAGCTTTTTAGCGTTTGTACTAGAATTTATCTTTTCTGCAAAATTTCTTTAATTTTGCAGCACAATGTGCAAAATTTTTGACCACATAGGTCTTTAATCATTTGTTCTTTCTACTTTACTTTAAATTATATATATATATATGAATGCAAAATTGAACATTGCCAAAACTTTTTTTGAAGTTACTTCTAATTCATGTAACGATTATGTAATTGTCAGCAACTGTAGTCATCAGTTCTTTGCACATTATCATGGATATGGAATACACAGTTGAAAAATAATTGAAGTGCACTTTGGGCATTAGGGTTGTCATTAACATTCATCCACTTACACATAACCTTTGCATTTGTAACTATACTTGGGAATTTAAACAAAAAAATTGAGCTAGTAGCCTATATGAAATATTTAACGTTTTGGGGATAAAATAAAAATTTTTGACTTGTCACAAAACAAATATCAGTAAATGGCATTATATCATATACATAAAAATTATTAAATAAATATATGGATACAAAAATAACTACAATAATAAAATCAAATATATACAACAGATCATTACAAAGAATAGGACTTCTCTTTGCACTTTTTTTTCTCTTTAGCTTTTAGAATCACCAGAGTCAAGATAAATGTGATTTATTTAATAGCCATTACCTTTCTATTATTTTCCATAACTAACAATAAAGTTTAAAATGAAAGAGTGTGAGCGACACAAAATACAACATGGAAAAGCAATCGTCACATGAAAGGAAACACCACTTTTGCCAATCTGAGCGATAACTGATTCTTGTTTGGCTTCCAGCCTGTTTTACCAATTGAAGGTGGTAACCCAATTTTGCGAAAGCTCACTTCCCAGAATTGTTCCTCCAATGTTCCGGCAACAAATATCGTATGTGATAACAGCATTACTTAGATGAGAAACAAGTGGTTGACTCCCAAGTCTCATTGCATGTCACTATTCTATCCCAAAACTTCTCCCCTTCTGTGTGATACCAGAAAAGAAAGTCTAAGGTAGTGCCCGTTCGACTGGTTTTGTGGAGCTCCATAAGAATTTTTGATACCTATCAAGCACAGAACTTCCTGTAGCCTAATTTTCCGGTGACTACCTAGTACAAAATAGTCCAAGAAATGTTTGGAAATTATTGTGAAAGTTCTCACATTGTGAATCGCTGGATCTGATGGATTTTGTTGTCAGTTTGTTTGATAATATCATAACTCTCTGCAGATGGCGTCCCACTCCTTGATTCATGATCAATGTTTGTTCTTCATTCGTTGAAAAATTTCACTCACTGACATTGCACCTTCTCTAATAATTTTTTTACCTGTATTTGACACATAATTCATGATGACTGTCTGCTGCTGACAGTTTCCCCCCCCCAAAAGAAATTGTACTAATCCTCATACCTCACATTTGACGAGATTTTCAATAGCAGTACACATTTTGTAACATTATAACCTGCATGCACATGGCAGTATGACCCTGTCACTAGGATAGCAAAAAGCTTACTAAAACATGGATTGCTTGATGTTACAATGGTTGCACTCCACTAACTGCTACTAGCGCTATGCCACAATGGAGGTTAGTTTCCGAATTGCCCTTGTACAATACAGGGCACAAAAAAGTACAACATAACATAAAAGGACTGCTGGATATATAAAAAATTTGTACACGGAACTGAAGAAATGACCAGTTTTTTTTATTGTGCTGGACTGCCTCTCATACTTATCTTTGTGCAGCTTCATTGTATAGGAAATGGAGAAACAGAATATTCATAGCAGATGCGTCATATTTTTCCATGTGCAAAAATTTTAGCAGTTTTGATATTTCTTTGACTTATTATAATAATTTTACAATTACTTAATATTTTTACACAATGTGTCTGAAAATAAACAAAGATAAGAGAATACAGACAAAGAAAAAAAATGAAAACCTTTCGATGCATTATTTTTATAATATAAATGTTCATTTTCCTTGCTTTGCACGTGATGCTGTCATTTCATCTGTTACTTATTTAAACTTTTCACATTTGTTCTATGTCTTGAAATTAGAAATTAAAGTTAATGACCTAAAACTGCAATAGTATATTACAGTACAAGTGAAAACATTGACAGTTTCACTCATGCGTGTGTCGTATTTGCACAATAATTATGGGGTCCCACAAAATTTTTGTAACAATTATGGGGTCCTGGGGGGTCGCAAAAAATCACAGTGATAAAAAGGGGTTGCGACTGAAAAAAGTTTAAGAAACCGTGCAATAAAACATTCTATCAGCGGTCTGTAGTCCTCCATTGTGAATCAACTTTTTCATTTTTTTGTTGCCTTCCATCTGTTTGTTTTCAGATTCGTGTTCATTTTTATTGTTTTTGTCTTTCACTTGTGCAACTGTTTCATCTCAGTAACTTCTTTACAACTTGAAATTAAGCCTGCTATTTTATAATTTTCTTTTTTTGTAAAAGCTCGTTTCCTGATTGGTCCTGCAATTTTTTCCAGCAATGAATAAGGCTTATATATTCAGATTTGTTCCAAGATTGAGATATCTACCACACTTTGTCCAAGGGATATATTTTCTTTAGTTTACTGAACATCTAACACTCTTTTTCCATAGCTAAAACAAGAAATTTATGTCTTTATCTCTTCTTTAGTGCTCACAAAATGACTTGATTCATTAATTAAACATACTGAAGTCATGCGGTGGGTGAAAAACTTAGCTGTTTATCTTGTAACTATTCTGAATTAGGATGGATGATGCATTGTCGAGAATTAAAAATGTTTTTCTTGATAGATTTTTTTTTGATTTTATAAACTTTTCTACCAAAGGAACAAACTACTGATAAAACTGGTCCTTAAAATTGTTGAATACATTTGATCTATTCTTATACTAAGCAGGCAAATCATAGATTGTGTCAGTCCATTTGTGGACTTTTTTATGTCTTTAAACATCTGGGGATTTTTCTGTTTGCTTAGTGCTAGTTTGAGCATAAGGTCTATTGCATTCATGCATGCTAAGTTTGTATTTCTCTTCTTCATTTTTAGGATAGGAACAATTTCTCTTCGCTGAATCTTTTTTGAAGGTAGAATTTGAATATTCAGACCAAAATCAACACAATTGTAAATTTGAACTCTAACTAAGTCTTCCTTTTCAATTAGTTTGTGGAAGATTTCTTTGAATTTATTAACATTTTCCAAGTCAGAAGATAGTTTTCCATCACAAACTTAAAACTGTCTAATATCACAAACTGTCCATAGTGCTATTTCCACTTTTTGAGTCAGTCAATACAAGCAATAAATCCAGCTTCTCCTTCTTGAAATCCCTCATAGAATTTGAAGGCCTGCTCTTGGTGAATGGGTCCTGAAATGGGTGTTAGTTCCTTTTCCATTTGCTACCTAGACTGCAAATAAAATTACTCTCATTGCCCCATTCATACTTTCCTTCTTTTCTTTCTTTAGTTCTTTTGGTGCCTCAACATGTGGGTGAGCGTGATCATGCAGAAGAATAATTCTGTCATGTCTGGAGAAGTAGTGGGTGCATTTTTCTATGAATGCTTGGCTCAATCTCATCAGCTGTGTTTGGTAGAGAGCCCCAGTGATGTTCTGAGCAACTCATTGGCTGTCAGTGTTGAAGCATGGCCAGGTGGTTCCCATAATTTTTTCTTCTTTGGATTATCCTAGTAGGTTCCATTTTTCATATTCAGTGACTATATGATGTAAAAAACCCTTTTGTTTGTGCCTGGCAAGCGGCAGTTCACATGTAAAAAATTGGTGTTCAACGTTTCTCAGCTTCAATTCGTATGGAACTTAATTTCCTTGCTTTTGAATGATTCCCAATGATTTTAAGGCAAAAGTGCACTTCAGCCCCTATTGGTGATATTCAAATCTTTTTCGCGAAGTGAGCTTTGAAATGGTCCTTGAGCCTCTATATTAGCATTTGCATAATTTTTAGAACCTTACATGTTTACGTGTCATCATTATCATAACATTTTTATTTAAATTTTTAATTCTGGTTCTTTATAATGAACATTGCTTTTTTATTTCCAGTTTGAAAGAGAAAGACTTACTACAACTGAAGATAATCTTGAAATGTTCTTGGATGTTGCTGCAGAGGTGAGTCGAAACATTTTAAGTTAATACGAGGGTTGGAACTTTAATAGTGGCAACTATTTATTTACAAGGAATACAAAAGTGATTCATGTCACCATGTTTTACAGTCCTTCAATGTAGTCGCCAGCATTGTGTACAACCCGTTTCCAACGATGTGGAAGTCGCAGAATACCTGTAGCAGCGCCTGTTTTGTTGATAGTTTGAATGGACCGGTCTACTGCTGCAAGAATCTCAGGAACAGTTTGGAAGCGAGTGCCACGAAGTGGTTCCTTCATCTTAGGAATTACGTCATTATCACAAGGGCTTAGATCTGGGGAGTATGGTGGATGTTAAAGCACTTCCCAGCAGCCCCATCGCTTGAACAAATCAGTCACAGCTTGTGCTGCATGCAGCCGAGCATTGTCATGCAAAATGAGAGGAGCGTTCTGCAGAAAGTGTCGCCGTTTTTTTCTCAAAGCTAGTCGGAGATTGTGCTCCAAAAATGAGCAGTAATACTGCGCAGTGACAGTCTGCTGTGGGGGAACGGTATGCGTTAGGATGACACACCATCACAGTCGTACACGAGAATCACCATAACTTTCACATTGCTGCGGTTCTGATGAAATTTCGAACGCTGTGGTGACCCGTGATGACGCCATTGGTTTGATTGGCGTTTCAGTTCTGGCTGGTGTGATCGGGCCCAAGTCTCATCCAGCGTAATGATACGGCGTAAAAAGCATCTCCTTCGCGCTCATAGCGCTCCAGGCGGGTTCGGGCAGCATCGTATCGTAGCCATTTCTGCATTTCCGTCAATTGATGTGGAACCCATCGTGAAGCAATTTTTCTCATGGACAGGCGTTCCTTCAGAATGTGCAGCACAGTCGTATGCACTAATCCTGTTTGTTCAGCCGGCTGATGAATTGTTTGGCGGTGATCACTGTCCATTAGTGTGGCAACAGCTTGCACGTCTGCATCGCTGACACTCGGACGACCTGGCCGCAGCATGTCTGCCACGTTTTGGCCTCCTTCATTGAATGCTTTCACCCATCTTGCTATGACTCTTTAAGGCAATGCAGATTCCCCGCAAGCGTCTTGAAGCCCTTGATGACACTGTCGTGCTGTGCGACCTCTGGCACATTCAATTTTTATCCAACATCGTTCTTGTTTTGAAAACGTCCTGACAACACTTACTTTAGACCGCGAGCTAATACAAGGATCCATTCTTTGCGTCACTCCGCATGTGCGTGACGTAGGCAGGATGAGTCTTTTTGCTGAGAGGTAAGGTAGGTATGTAGTTCACGTGTGGTATACGCGATATTCTTTGGTTTTGTTGCACAGCGTTTTTTCAGCTGTGTTGCCACTAATAAAGTTCTAACCCTCGTAATTTGGTTACTGAATGTTCTGTGAAATTTATGCTTAAATGCCCATTAAGTATAAGATGAAAATCATCCTTGTGCATAATGTTTACATATGTATTCTTTTTTCCCTTTATGTTATTATTATTAACATAGTGTAAGGAAGATTCTGAAGTGGATAATGAACAAGGTTATGTCTCAAAGAAAGTAACCCAAAAAATGGATCATAGTCGGCAAGAGGAGAGAGACATTGGCAAAGCTATTCGTCGTAAGTAGCCCTCTGAGCTTTATATTGTTAAGACACTGATTGCTGAATGTATTATATTGTTTAAAGAAGTAGCATTCATTAACTAATAATTCAAGATATTTAATTTGTAGTATTTTAAAATATGTTATCCATTAGAATTTTTTTCAAGATGTCTCAATTTTGCTATTATTGGTTTGGAAGGAAATGAAATTTCCATTAAATTGCAGAATTTTGAAATTTCAATTTTAAAACTAAAGCATAGCATTGATCATTTAGTTAAAATAAAAATGAAATTTTTGGTATTCTATAAAGAAACTCAGAATAAATAATTAATCTGTGTTAAATCTTATTCCAGTTTTGCTAATAAAATATATTGTGATGATGTATTGCTTACACAGGATTTGACCTAATATTAGCAAAATCTGCTAACCAAACTATAACTTGGATCTTTTCTATATTGTGTATTTGTATGACGAGAAGGTGTACCCTAAAATTCAGTACTCAGTGTCTCTCTTTTCAGCTTGAAAATTAATTCCATTTTAAGAGAACTTCTTCCCACAGTGTATGGTTCCCTGTATCTTGATGATATGCTGTCACGGTTAAGATATGAGAGCTACTACGAGACAACTGCTAATCACTCTTAACAGAATAATAAAGGGGCTCAACAACAATGGTTTAAATTTTTCTAGCCAGAAGACCGTTTGCGTGCATTTCTCTCGTGAAAGAAATCTACATCCTGAACCAGAGAGATCTTGATGGCCCCTTGATTTGAGTCTAGTCAGAAGCAAAATTCCTGGGAGTCATATTTGACAGAAAGCTCACATTCCTTCTGCATATATTAAATTTAAAGAAAAATGTGCTTAAGCTCTCAACATTCTGAAAGTCGTAGCTAATACTTTATGGAGAGCTGAATGTTGTTCTATGCTTCGCATATATAGATCTTTAATTCGTTTCAGACTTGACTATGGTTGTGTTATCTATGGATCAACAAGACCTTCTGTGCTATTGAAATTGGATCTGGTCCACTTCAAGCTCTACGGATATGCTCTTGTGCTTTCAAAACATCTCCAGTCCAAGTTTATATGTCATCTGTTTTGAACCATCTTTGGAGTTCAAATGCAAGCAGTTGTCTCTTGAATTTCATTATAAAATGTCACAAGCCAAACATCCGACTTTTGATATCTGAGCAGTATTGTCATTTCTACTAAGCATGCCGAAAAATTCAACTTAAATGATCTGCATCCCAAAAGCTTTAACCTTTTCGGTATTGCTTCCTGGCAAGGAGCAAATATTCGCATACTTGACATTTTTGGAGGACTTACGAAGAGCAACACCAATGATGTCCAGTATCAACAAATATTCCTAGAGCATAGAAGCAGACATTCTAACTATAGAGCATTTTTTAATGATGGCTGAAAGAAAGTTCATCATATTCTGACTGTCTAAGTGCTCTTTAATCAATAAATGTTAATATTAGCCATACATTGGTCTTAGAAATTTTAAAGGCACACCTATGTTTGAGGAATGCAGGTTATTATGTTGTGTACTGCTGGGTGCCTGGACATGTTGGCATCAAAATCAATGAACTTGTCGATATTGCAGCAAAATCAGCTGATTTTACATCTGAAAATGATGTTTTCTTTACAGACATGCGGAATTACATCAAAAGCAAGTAGTGGAGGTGGCGAGAGCACCGGAAATGTCAGGCACAGAACAAATTAAGGCAGGTGAAATCCAATTTGGAGTACTGGGAGTCGAGAGGGAATCAAAATGAGGATGTACTGTTGACTCACCTACAAATCAGGCACTGCAGATTGACACACATCAGTATCTCTTGAAAGAAGATATTGAGTCTATGTGTGGTACTCGCACTGTTCCCATTTCAGTCAATAATATTTTAACTTGTTATGCTGCTTTTGGTCAGAAACACATAGCATTTTAACTCTATGAATACTAAGTCAAGAGAACTCATTAGAGGAAATCCCCATATTATCCTCATAAAATTTATAAAAGACATTCCTTTTTACCATATAATTTGAGTTTATTTCCTTTTTTTCCTACTCTGCTTGTTGCTAGGGCATTTTTTTACTTTCATCTGTGTGCACCTTCTTCAATATTACAGGATATATTAACGGTTTATATAATACTGTATCATGCTCCTAATGCATTTTAGTTTTGCTATATTTTGTCTATGGTATACAAGTGAATGATTTTTATTTACTCTCAAAACACTGCCCATATGAACCTCATCTTATACACTCTTCTGCAAAAAAATTGAAGCACCATGAAGGAAGTGGTTGTTTTTGATGAAATTGAATATGTGTGTATCTCATACACAGATAATAAAATGATTAAAAAATCAAGGTCATAGTACCTGTTCATGGCTCACAGTCACCCATTGAGTGTTCAAATTAGTAGTTGGTCGAACTGCCCCTGGTGGCAATGCATGCGTAAATTCGTCAAGGCAAGGTGTGTTCGAGTTTCCTAATGCCATCCTGGGACACATTCTGCTAGGCATTCATCAGTTGTCACTCCAGGAGTAGTAGCCAAATAGTATGTATGGTATAGTTAAATTTGATGATTATAGCCGCTAATTTGAAAGGCTTTCGGATATTGCAAAACGAAGAAATTTTCTAATTAACGGATTTTGTAAAGAAATGTGAAGAAGCAGTAATAAATGAAGATGATATAAAAGAAATTTTTCGTTGTAATGACAATGCTCCTCAATCATCAATCAATTAATGAATGGCGAAATCTGTAGTATGGTTCTAGATCCAGTTGAAACAGCAGTTACAGAACTTCAACAATGTAACTAAACAAAAGATTATGTCTGTCTATAGAATTAAGAAAAAGTATTAAGACAAAAAATGAAGCAACGTAAACAACTTACATTGAAAGAAATGTTTAAGAAGGTAAACAAACAAATATTAAGCTTTTTCTTTGTAAATTTAGATACCATTTAGATCATAAATGCTTCATTATTTCATAAATCACGATTTCATATTTTTAATTTTGTAATTTCTACATGCCATCTTTCTAGATTTAAACTGATGATCTAATATCCGGAAAAATTCCAAATCCAGAATCGCCGAAGTTCCGACGAATCTGAATTTCGGACTTTGTATTGTATATATATTAAATTCAATCTCTGAAGTGTGAAAAAAAAATCATGGTATAATATTTTTTTAATAATATTAAATGTAAAAGTAGTTGTTTATGAAAACGTTATTTTTAATAAGCTTATTCAGGAGGGGCATTATTGTAATATGTGTTTGTTGTTTTACCTGAACTGCTGACAGTAATGTTTTCAGCACATTTTTTTTTAAGAATTTAAACATTAAATTTGTGCAGGTCTATTGATATGTTTTTAATTTGTATAGCATTAAAATGTAGTCAGGCATGTTATAATCAAGTTAAAACAGATTTTTTTTTTTTTTTATCTTTGGTAATTATTTAAAACATTCCTTCTCTTTTTCCTTTTGGAATTAATTTTTTTTTCTGATATCTTTTTAGAACATCAGCGACTTAATGCAGCTCTTGAGAAATGTGAATATTGTTTAGATCAACCTAGTATGAAAAGATATGTATTGGTGGACATTAGAGATCAGGTAAAGCATTTGACATTGTAGAAACTGAAAAATAAAGTGAATTTTTTTTGCAAAATCAATTTACTTTTTAATGTGTTTTGAGAAAAACTAGGTATATTTTTTCATTTACGTATACTATTTAGTCATTTTTAAGTCTCAAGTATTTTTATTCCTTGACTTAATTATAACAAAATTGTTGAGATCGAAGCTCATTGTCAAGTATAATTTTTTTATGACGTTCTGATGTTCATCCATTATAATCTTAAGATAGATTTTCTTATCAAATTAAAACTTTTTCCAAAAAATTTATTTAAACTTACAGCTTTTGTGTAATTTTATATATTTGTCAATATTTTTGAATAGTTAATATTATATATGGAAAGTAAAACTAGAAATGATCTATCCTGTTGTTAATAGTTAAGTAGTATAATTGGATATCTTAATTTTTTATATTTTTAAATTTGTATATGAGCATATTTGCTATAAAATAAATAACTCTGAAATAATTCATATTGTATCTGATTAGCTTAAGTGCCATACATCTATTTAAAAAAATAAAAAATAAAAAAAGTAAAGCAATGAAAATTTATTTAATAAAAACTGAACATGTAGTACATGCTTGATGATGATTGTTACCAGTTAAAGAACTAGAAAAACTTGAAATGGGGGGGGGGGGACTTTTGAAATATTTCCTGGAAGACAATTTGTTGTTATTTTTTATTTATTTATATATTTATTTTATTTTTTATTTTATTTTTTGTTATGACTTTTTTTAAAAAAATAGGTTCAAAAAAGTATGTGAAACTGTGCTAAAAGTAAAAAAAAAAAAAAAAAAAAAAAAAAAAAAAAAAAAAAATCAAACAAAAGTTTTGAATAAACAAATTAATCAATTTTTCTAAAATTTCAATTATACTGTTAATTTTGGAAGCTAAATTTTATTTAATCTTACAATTTATTTCAACAGATTTATTTGTGTCTACCAAGTTACCAGTCCCTGGTGGAAAATCATTGTTTAATTGTACCAAAACAGCATGTTTCATCCTTTCTGGCACTGGATGAAGATGTATGGACAGAAGTTGAGGTATATGTGTGTGTCTTGCCGTATTTCTACATCTGTTTCTGAAAAATTTATTTATTTATTTATTCTTTTTGTGTGTAATACATATAAAGTGATGTGTGATTATATTTAATTATCTCCCTAAGGGAGACTGATTTGCCCCCCCCCAAAGAAATGGTTTTATGTAATGGAGTCAGCATGCTGACTCCAGCATATTGTAAAATATGATGAGCAAATAACATGACCATTCTGTAAAATATTATGGTTAATCTGCAAAACTAGGAGTAAAAACTATTTTCTCATTAAGATATGTGAAAGGTTAAGTGATTAACACACAATTATTTTCTTTTATGAAGCATTCTTATGTTAATTAACCAATTATTATTTTTGATTTATGATAACTTCTTCCTTCTTTATTCCTCACCAGAATGCAAATGACCTTCAGGATTTAAACTAAGGGTTTTGAATTCGTAGAAAGAGAGAGTTTCTGATACTCATGTCTACTGCTGGTTTTTTTCACCAGCTCCATTTAAAAGTGATATTCTGGCTTTGACGTTCTTGCTAGCTGATGCTTTAAACTTGTGCATAAGTGAAATAAGTGAGCTAGCTTATTTCTTATTCTTTTGAATGTGTAGTCTTAGAATATGTTACCTATGAATTTAATTGTCTGTTTTTATTTAATTTAGCTACAGGGGGTGTTTTTTCCCCCATAGCATTAAATTGTACCTTTACGTTCGATATGGCTTAAGTTAAAAAAAGATTATTTTAAATCTTCCTGAGTGTTTGTTAGTTGTTGAGTGTAGTTATGTCAACATGTACAAATTATGTATGCAGCATGTAACTTAAGTAAATATGAACTTATGCCAATCATTCCGGTGAAAGTTTGGATAGAAGAGATCCTCTTTATTCAGTTAGATAGTCAACAGATAAGTGGTTTATTGAGAATTAATTGGTTTACATGAAACCAAGAGAAGATCTTATGAATATATTATCCATTATTGGCTCTAAATAACATTGTTTGATGACAGTGTTAAATAGAAATAGGTGATTGTATAGTTTTGATAGTTCTAGAAGTGTTCTGCCGCTGGAAATGGCTTTGTTAGAAATCAGGTTTCCTGCTGTTTTCTTGAAATCCTTTTTCCATAGTAAAACATAAATTTCAAAACAGCATAGCATCCCATTCCAATAACGCACACAAAAAAACTCGCATAATAATTTAAACTGCATTTTTATTTATTATATCTAGTCTAATTCATGACAAAGCGTATTTCTTAACCATTTTTAATCCCCAGAGAGATAAAAAAAAATAATTTAAGAAAGGCAATTAAAATTTAACATCTCTTTTGCCTCGGCCAATTAGGCGAAGAGGTCATTTATGTTAGAATACATTACAGTACATCCACATTCATTTTTTTCTGTTTTTTTCTTTGATTAATTAAGAACTTATACATTACTAAATTTCCGATATTCATTACATTAATTCTTATACTTCAAAAAATCTAACAAACACTATCTTGAATGAACACAAATTAAAGGTAAAGAAGATTCTCTAAAATAATAAGGGAAACAGGGCCTCCAGGAGTTATTCGAGTAATCTGGCAATAAAAGAATGAAAACAAAATTCTTAAAAAAAAGAGGGGGGAAAAAAAAAAAAAAAAAAAAAAAAAAAAAAAAAACTGAGTTGTAAGGAGCAGGAATGGTACGAAGTTCAATGGTACGGAGTCACTCCCACACATTGTCCGAGGTTCGTGCAAAGAATGGCAATGGGCCTGTCAACTTCTGTGTTTTTCCTCTCCTTCTAGTGTTCATCGATGAGTTGTCATAGTAAAGGCACCACCTTCTTCGTCAGTCATCTATCTCCTTTTCTCGTCAATAGTCTGTGAGGTTCGTAGGGATCACTCGAAAAATCACATCGTAGCAAGGCAGTGGATGAAGCAAAATCAATAATCCTTTGCAGCAAATGACATCAACAATGCATGCCCTTAGATTTTCATGGTGTAGAAAGCATGAACATCACAGACATCCTACGAAAAATCGTCAAAAGCATAACAACAGAAACACCACGGGCAAGAGCGTAAGAGCAGTCCTCAGAGTGTCTGCAGCGGCCAAACAGTGCAAGAAGCCCAGATAAGCGCGTTCAAGAGAGACGGCAGCAATGAAAAGAAAGTCAAAATGCAAGAGCATGAACACTCCAAATTTATCTCTTAAAATACCGACAAGCATTGTTTCCCAGACTTGGCAAAACTTGCCCCTCAAAAGCTTCCAAAGTCCAATTTTTTGTTTTTCAAAAACTGGTCAAGTCTCAACTGCGCAAGTAATATGAAATTCGCCTACAAAAATTCGCCATCACCAAAATCCTGACCTACTCCCGACCTTTCCATTAACCTTCCTGTTTACAAGTATACCTTATCCGGTACACCCCTTTCGGCTAAACTCCGAACAAAGACCTAACTTCTAGAATCCTGTGGATGCCTGAGCGAAAGAAGACAGGAAAAAACAAAATGGCTCAAAGGAAACAAATATCAGGCAGCCCTGCTTCTTCACATTAAATCATAAAATCAAACTAACATTTCACAATTAATCCATTACAGTTCATTAAATTCTTCCCTTTCACTTTATATTAGAAAATTTTTATATAAATTTTACTTGAGGCACTGGTTCACAGACTGTATCCCAATATATTAAGAGTTAAGTGAAAATTAAAAAAAAAATAATAATAATAATAATTTCCTCATAATAAAAAATGCACGAATAAATGCTTCTTTCTAGGGAAAAAAAATGTAATAATATCCAATTAATTCAGCATATTACAGAAATTATTTAATTCTTAAAATCTCGAATTTTACTGCACCACAACAGTTTTATTTATGTATTTATTTTATTTAGCTATTAGTTTAGTTTACTTACTATTGAGTCACAACAAACACTTTCATTTTTGGAGGGATTTCAGAACTTTAAGTTATACAGTGTATACTAATATATTAATTAATTATATTATTGCTGTTTACAGTCTATGTGTCATTATCAAGTATAATATAATTCTAAATAGTACAATGGAGTTGACTTTGTTCTGTTACTTTCAAGAAAATTTTATAAATTACCATAAGGTTCACATGTTTGAATTTGTAAGACTTAATTTTAATACTGTATTATATTTCATTTTGTAGTTTTCATAATAATCATTGTTAATAAATTATGCTTGTATCATTCTAAATACTAGTTTGTTTTATTACTCTAGCATATGAAATACCAGTTAAGAAAATGGTTTAGGACACAAGAGAAAAATGTCATTTTTATTGAAACGAGCATGAATTTTCGTTACTGCCCACATGCTGTTTTGGAATGCATTCCTGTTCCTGAAGAAGAAGGAGATATGGCTCCATTTTATTTCAAAGTAAGATTCTTGCCTTTTATAAATTACGAATGGAATGCCTTTTATTATTTTTTAAAATAAATTTAAGACAATTAAGTACTGTTTCACATTTTATATAAATCTAGTTTTCATCCCCTTTTTTTCCCTCTAGTTATGAAGTAAAGGAACTGTTATAATTTCGTAAAATTTTGAGTACCAAATATACCCACGTATAAATCAACAATTTTAAGAAAAAATCAAAATTCGAAGCAGGGAGTCGACTTATACACGCAACCTTAAGAAAAAAAAAAAAAAAAGAAAGAAAGATTTGCTACTGCTGATTGATGACATGTCGGTGAACTTGATTATTAAATATATTGTTCATACAGAAAAAACACAAAATTTTTATTTCTTCTATCCATTTATCTATTAATTTTTTTTTTATTAAATTTGTTTCAATTTTATTTTCTGTTGATTAGTTAAGTTCCCTTTCCCCATTTCACTTCATTATCTGGTGTCACATATTCCAAGGTGAATATATGCAAGTATAGGGCGAAAGGGATACAATCCGATTTGCTTACTAAAACCAAAGATGGCAATATTAGAAAGCCAGACATAACTTTAATTGCACGGGTGGTGAAAGATGCTTGGGACATTATTCTAGCTGAAATGATAATTAAATCATTCAAAAAGTATAACATTTCTACTAAGTTGGATGGCACAGAAGATGTTGCAATCTATCCAAGTGACGATAATGACACTAGCTGTGATGAATCAAGTGATGAAATTTATGATGACTCGCTAATGACTGAAAAAGAATTTCAGGATTTATTTGCAGATTCTGACTTTAAATCAGAATTTGAAGGATTCGAATGAAATTCTTTGAAAATTTTGCACACATTTTAAAATTTTATCATGTGCTAAAATGAAAATAAACAAATATTCACAAAAGTGTGAGTATAATTTTATCAAGTACATCGGCATGTTGTATCAGATGCGCTGTCGCGGCAGCTCATGCAACAAATTTATTTTTTTGAAAATATTTCTCAAAAGTCTGGGGATTGACTTATATGGTAACTGAAAAATTATTAGCCATAGCAAGTTGTAATTTTGTATTATGTTATTGTTATAGCATCTAGTTGTGCAATGTTTATGCTATAGCATCTAGTTATACACTTGTCATCTGGCTCCAGAGCAAATCTTGACTCATCAGTAAACATGACATTGTCCCAGTCAGACACTTTCCAATTGACATGTTCCTGGCACCACTGTAATCATGCCCTTCTTGATTGGACGGATAGAGGAACACAAACGCGAGGTATCCGGCTGTACAGTCCACTCGTATGTAATCTTCGGCGTACAGTAGCTGCAAATATCACCTTACCAATAGACGCAGTAACCATAGATGTCACATATGTGGAGGTCGCTTTGCGATTTCCGCTTGGCTACAATAGCAATATATCGATCTTCCGCGGGGGTTGTAACCCTTGGGCGACCGGCTACAGGCCTTCGGACAACTGCCTGTATGGTTTGGAATTGTTTCCATAAACGTGAAATTACAGAATGATGAATGCCGAAGACAAGAGCAGCATCTGTGATTGACTGTCCTGCTTCAATGTGCCCCACAGCACACCAGCGCTCAGAATCTTCCATTCGTCTTCTCGAAGTTATAGAAACACGTATGTCTTGAAAACAAATTGTATGAAAGTTTTAAAGACCTTCTATCAGCACTTGCAATCAACTTCTGTAACCCTTCATAAAACTGGCTTCTTATAAGACTGCCTTTTTTGCATATTTCTTGAAATGAAAACACGATTGGCTGTTACCTAACATATTTGTATACTTCCATCTACCTCTGCAGCAAATTGAATCCCCTTCACTTCTGATTGGCTTCCAAAAATTAGCATTTTCCTTTCCGTGCTTAACTTTTGGAAGTGAGTGTTTATGTAGTTAGTCTAGCAATAAATATCTAACAATATTTAATATCAATTTATTGTCGCAATACAAAAATGGGGAATTTAACAGGAGATAGGAGGAAGTCGTGGTTTTTCAGATTTAAAATTTTTTTATAATGCATGTTCATTGTTGTCGTAAAGGAAATGAAAATAGGAATAAATTTTTAAAGAGAAATATATAATTGAAAAAATTATTATACATTGGCAAGTTTTTTATGTATAAAAAAAGTAAAAATTAAAAAACATAAATGCCTTTTTCTTCAGCTGATGTGTAGAATGTTAACCCATTTACTGCCAAGTATTTTAAATTAAATTTTGCCTTATGAATAGTTCCTCTTTATATCATAAAGACATGAGTAGAATATTTTTATTAAAAAATAATTTCTTATTAGCAATCATGTACTTTTTTACAGATTTCCATTTTAAAACTGTGGCATTATTATTAATTATTTACGTGTTGTACAAAGCATAATGAGTCCAATACTGCATTTACTGTATTGATTCCTAATGTTTGTTTTGCATATGGTATATTTTTTAACATGTTTATTGTAGATGTATGTAGGTTTTTAACATGTTTATTATAGGTATAATTTTACTACTGCATTGTTGCCAAAAATTTTTATTCAAATCTCGGGACATAAATTTTTAAATGAAAGTTGTAGGTAGAACAATGCGACATCTAGTTTTTTATTATGTGTACTATATTACCATAAAAGACCAAAATCAGAGAATGTTTATATTCTCTGGTGAATGTCTACTCTCTCCAAATACGTCTGTGAAAGATTGAATATTTGATTATATTCTTATACATTAAGATCATCACCGGTTGTTGTTGCAGTAAGTAACATATAGCACCAGTCACATAATTTAGTTTATCATTGGTGTAATTTTCTTTTCTCATTCGGAGTGTGCTGTTTGTTTTATGCTCAACAGTTTATTTACATGTGCTGTTAGTTAACTTTTTCCTATTTTGACATATATCAGTATATGTTTTATTAATAAAGAATGATTTAAAAACATAAAAATACAGGGTGTTTATAAAATCCCGGACCCATTTTGATGTTTAATAACTCATAAAATAATAAAGATAGATTAAAATTAATAACATAAATGGTTAGACTAAAAAGTTTCATGACCGTTGTCAATGAACTTCCACGTGTACCCCCTTCGTCTCACGGAGAATATCAAGTTGATATTCAATTTCATGCCAGGTACCGGCAAACATGTGTTGTGGTGTATGCATTCTCCTTAATATCCGGTTGAATAAAAACATCACATACAAAAGCACTAGAACAAACACATCAAAAGTAGACATAACATTGCAATAGTTGCCAAAAACAAAAGAGAAAAAAATGCAATTAATAAGCAGACAATATTTAGACTGGAAAATGTAATTATCTGAAATTAACCACACACGCAGACGATATTTACAAAAGTAAAGATATTCAAACCTGAAAAGGAAAATATATAAGTTATTCCATCAATAAATGCCATATCTTGCTTATATCTTCATTATTTATGAGTTATTAAACATCAAAATGGGTCTGGGACTTTATAAACACCCTGTATTTTTATTCAGCATTCGCCATCAGTGAATGGCGAATGTTGATATTTGCCAGTGTAAATTAGAAATAAGTATATTTAGCAAATACTTCAGAAATACACCAAGCGACTCTGACTGTTGACATACTCTAGATTTCAGTCTTTCACACATATATAAAATACTATAATCTTGTTTTACTCAGTAAAGTAAAGTAATTGACATAATTCAGTTATCATTTGAAAAAGTCAGGACAGGAAAGGAAGATTTTTTCCTTCTATTGTTAATGGTGCCCTTTTCCTCTTTCTTTTCATTGAAATTTATTAATTACGAAGCTCATGATTTTCTCCTTATAAAAAGTTCTATATTATTATTAAATTAATTTTTTACTTGATAGAAAGCCATTCAAGAATCAGAAGTTGAATGGGCACATAATCAAAAGTTAGTGGATCTGACTAAAAAGGGATTACGTCGTTCTGTAAGTATTAGTTTGATTTAATGAATTATAAAATTTTTATATATTGTTCATGTACTATTTAAGTACCTGTTTCATGTACTATAAAAATTATTGACACATTTTAACTTGTTAAGCATCCTCCTCCTGTATTCTGCAAAACATATTAATACAGTTTAATCTATTAATCAAAGTTCTTCTACAAAATGTTTTTCTGCATCTCTGAATTTTCTGAGTTTTATTTGCCATTATGTATTGTTTGCTCTTAAACATAACTATACAGTGTTATCAGAGAATTCATATTTTATTAATATTTTCACAAATTAAAATTTTTTTATTAATTTTTGAAACTGTATTGACTAATTAAAAACCTATTTAAGAAGTACTGTTCATTACTTTTAAACTGTCTGTTATAGATGATAGATCCATTCTTCCTTTTTTGTTTTGTTTAAACCGCTAATAAAAATATAATTTGTCACTTGCAAATGTGGAGAAATTGTAAATCTTAAATTGCATAAAATTATTCCCTATTGAACTCTTAGAGCTGGAAAGCATTCAAGATATCTTAAAGTTTTGAAAAGACCATAAATTCTGATTTCAAAATTTATGAAAATATCTTCTGCAGTGATCATTGAAAAAAATTACTGAGTATCCAAAAAAATTGTAAATTTGGGGAAAAATAAATGTACATTTTCTTATTCCTATAGGCTGTTTAATGCAGATTTTGGAAACATTCTTTAGTCTTTCAACATCTAAACTAGAGTTAGCTCACAGAGTTTAAACTACTTTTCACCTTTTTTTTTAATTGTAGCAATTGATTTCAGTATAGAAGTACTATTTTTAATACTCTGAATTCATTGCTGAAGGAGACTACAAGTGTACATTAAGTGCAATTTTTAAAACACCAACACCAAATTTCCCTGTTCTATCATAGTAAATATATAGTGCAATTTATAAAATTTAGCTAAAGGTCTTATTTACCTGTCTAGTCATGTCATTTTGTAACAGAAGTTTTGATGTCTAATAATACCACATTATTTGCAGAGATGGGATTTTTGCAGCATTAGGAAGTTAAGGAAATCACACATAATGCAACTAAAAGTTTGTATAAAAAATAAGTACACTCAGAAACTTCATTTAAAAATTAATTAAATATAACAGATAAAATTAATTCTGTAGTAAAGTCTTTAAGAGGTGTTAAAAAAGAGGTGTAACTAAGTTTTATCTCCCTTTCTTTCTTTATATTTACCTAATTTGTCATAGTGATACACTCACTTTCAAATTTCAGTTCCCTTTTGCCAGAGCATTGACCTTGAGAATACTGTCCTTAGTTGTCCATTAAAAGCAGGGGAAGGATTTATTTAATATTTTTACTAAGAAATTTAGCTTAATAATTTCCACCTCTGCTTTTTCATGTAACATTTCATTTGGAAATTTGATAATTCTTATCATTCCATTGTTAACTCTGTATAGTATAAAACAATTTCTTTACTGTTTGTTTCATTTATTGCATGGAAGCATTCTGTTTGTTTTTGCACCAAATACAGTTTGAGCTGCTTTGATGCATTTTCCCAAAAGTTATGTTTCACTTAATACTTCTGGTCATGGTATAAGCCAGCAAGATTTATTGTGAAAATATCTTGCTAGTGTATGTGATACCATAATTTATCCAGCATTTATTTCACAGCCAACCTGACCAGTATTTCATGTTTCTCAAATAGATTTTTGAAAGTTCTTCATGTATAATAGATGTGATCACTGTGAATCTCCTGGCTATAGAATTGAGATTGCCTTTGACAGCCAAAAAACGTGATTTCATCATTTCAGTAATCCTTTTTCAAGATCTGAGAGTGACTTGTAATGAGCAAATGAACTTTTAAAAGTATGCTTTTTAACCTTAAGTAGTCGGCAATTTTGGATTAAAAAGTTCTCAAGCTATCCCTTTGTAATTTTTAAAAATAATTCAGAAGCATTGTTCTTGTATTCCTGGGTAAAATTACTGACCTTTATAAAATAGAAAACAGCATTATTTTGCATTTACTGTAGGTGTTATGTAAGACATTCATATCTTAAAATGTAGAAATTTATTGTAAATTCTACATATCTTGCAAATGTGTTCAAATTTTCATTATGGAAAACCATTGTTTAATTTAAGAATTTTTTTTTTATCACTTCATGATTGTTTTTGTAGAGGCAAATACATAGCTGTACTTAAAGAACTATTTTTCATTGCAATATAATTTTTCATGACATCATCTTGAAGTAGGATCTAGCACCAACTTTTCAAAGCCTAATTTGTTGGCATTATTTTTGAAAAATGTAATTTATATGACTGGAAAATACTTGAAATTAAAGCTTTGCTTTCTTATTGTGCTGATTTCTGGTAGATTACTATAAAATTCATAAATTTTATTTTGGAATTTATTAATTGAGAAAAAAATTTAAAGCATTGTGAAGATTAACTTATGCTGATTTCAGTTAAGCCTTTGATGTGCATGATATTATTTTTATAATTTTTTTAACTAAAAACTCTAGAAATTGAATATTATGATCCCAGAGACAAATAATATATGAATTTAAAAAAAATGTACTCTTGCCCATTGTTCTGTGAGTGATGGTCGCACAGTGAAACCACCGTGCGTCTAGGACTTTGAAACTTACTGAGGTATATAAGGGGAAAAAACATACCTTTCTCTGTGCGCTTTTCCAACAAATGACGAAATTTGCGAATTTTTAAAAAATGTATGTAAGAATTGCATCTTATATAATTTTTTTACATTATTTTATAAAGTAAATCATCAGAAAAAATTTAAAAATAAACATTTTATGTAATTTTTGTATAGCAGTGAAAATATGAGTACTTACATAATAAGGACATTTGGCTAAATGGATAAAAGAACTCAGTAAAATAAGGATTAAAAAAAGACTTTTTTTTTTTTTTAAATTTTAAAGAACAAATTTTTTTTTTCGTGACCCTATTCAAGGCATGTTTTGTCTTTATAGTACATGCATAGACCCACATTGCACGTTTCGCACATGCATCTTCTTCTATGAGGTTTCTTCCTTGTGCTACAAAATGTACACTGCCTGGATCTAAATTTCACTGGTATATGTCCAGTGTTATTTAGTTTCTTTTCATCTGGCACATGAAATTTGTGGGTTTTTATGTTAATGGGAGGGGGCTTGGTCTTTTTGGCTTTGGTACGGATCATTCATTTCCCATTCATACTTTATTTTATTCATATTTCGTCCCCAAATATTCAAAAAAAATATTTTAAATTTAAATAAAACTTTACGTGATATCTATTTTTAATTATAGTAAAGTATATTTACATTAAATTTAAGCCACAGGAAATAATTTATAAAATTGCAATACTAACTTGGGGAGTGAGTGTGTTGAGGTCAGAGAAAAGTCTCTGGAAAAGAAAGACATTTTTACTGGGCAGGTGCATGTATTGTTTAGTAATAAAATAACTTTGTGGTTTCAAAACTCCTTATCTATATCCTGGTAAAAATAAACATTCCTATTTGAGAAGCAAGAACACGCCATTGTGAAGAGCAGTGGTTTCAAGGCGCAACCACTGAACCTCTTGAGCATTGTGATACAATGGCATCTACTGAGTTGCAGTAGAGTTTTGCAAACATAACTTCCAATATCATGACGTTCTGTAGTTGACTTAAAAATGTCGATAGTCACTTTTTTAAGGTTACTAAAAAGTTTCTATTGATCAAGCAGGTCATTATCTCTGAAATAATGTTATGCTCTAACACCTGAATGTAATAATTTCTAGTATTGGCTATGTTATGCAAACAGTATAATTACATTTTAATTACTATTACTGTATTATTGCTATGAGAGTAATATTTATGCATATAAATGTCTCCGTGTTTCTTTGCTCTCTTCAAAGATTTGTCGTGCTTCCCCCCCCCAATTGTCTCATTGTGTTACTAATTCATGGAACTATGTAGCGAATTTTTTGACAGGTTTTATTCTTTTAATGGAAAGCCCAAGCTTTCCCATTTTCAATTTCAGTAATGAAGTGGCTGAAGAAAGTGAGGTGGCAGTTCTCAGTCAGCACTCGTATTCCTTTATGTTGCTAGCCATTAGCAGGAGGTCATGAAGGTTTACAGCTGTACCTTGTTGCGAACTAAACTGGTCATTTTTGTTACAGTTTCTTAGTTTACATTCAAATTTAAAAGTATTGTGTTGTCTCTACAAGCTGAATAAAAAGAATAAAAAACAAATTAGCATGACAGTAGAAGTGAAACTGGATACCTTCTGGAGAATGTATAAGAAGAAAAGTAATAATAAAATTGTCTTGGATTTAGATAACGGATGAATTACTATAACAGGGTGGGGAAAGAAAAGTAAATGTAAAAAAAAAAAAGCATATATTTGTGGTTTGAAGGAAAGGAAAATTATGAAAGATAGTGAATACTAGAAAGTGAGTGAGGCACTTTATTTGTAGTTTAGGCAGGAAATGAAAAAAAAGGAACTGATGTTTCTGGCCCCATTTTTCTACAGCAGGCCCTCATATTCCATGAGAAATGTTTACTGCTTGTATTGACTTTCTCGAAAGATTGAAGTCATGGAAATTGTTAATAAATTTAAAGAAATTTTTCATAGACTAATTGAAAAGGAGTACTTAATTATCAAATTTACATCTGTGTTAAGTTTAATCTGAATTTCTGAATGCCACCTTTGAAAATGCTTTCATGCAGGGAAGAGAAATAAGTGGAGAATTATAGTCTTGCATACTAAAAAGCAAAATGCAACTGTAAACTAAGACAAGCACTCATAAGTAAATGGGAAAAAAAATTGTAGGTGTTAATAAATGTAAAAAAGTGCACTAATGGAACTGGCACATTCAATGATTTGCGTGTTTTTTATAGGAAGCAGTCAAACGCACGAAGAAATGAAGCCATTTTTAATGACTGGTTTAATCAGAGATTTGTTTGGAAGAAATAATTTTAAAATTGAAAAACCTTTTTTTCAATTTTTTTACAAACATAACACTGATGAATATCATAAAAATAGTGATAAATTAAAATTATATTTAAGAAATAAGATTAAAATAAAACATTTTTATTTTCTCCTGTCATATTATAATAGAGAAGAGATGTGTGCAACTGGGACAAAACCAAGAAAACGAATGGTAAACTCTGTCTTTCTGTCAGCCAAAATTTGCCATGAACAAAATAACAATAAAGCATTCATTTGATTCACCCCTACTTGAAATATACTTGCCCAGTTGCTATACTGACTGCCACCTGGGTGGCCGCAGACACCATGGCAGGAGCTCTTCTGAGACTGTACTATTTACTTCAGCAGAAAGCTGTTCATTAGCTATTTATGATGCCATTAAATTGATTTTGACAGTGTCATTCATAATCAGTATGTAATGCAAAGTGTTTTTGATTAATAACATGCCTTTGATAGTGTTCTGAATTAGAAATAGGTTTATTAGTTTCATTATAGCTTTAAAAATATTTTTAAAATTAATAAAGATTCATATTTGATTTATTCTTTTAATTAGATACCTAAAGGATTACCATATTTTTATGTTGAATTTGATAAATCAGTACATGCTGGATATGCTCATGTCATTGAAGATGAGAAACAGTTTCCTAGGAACTTTGGAAAGGTTAGTTTCACTTTTTTCTTCTTGTTTATTATACTTTTGAGAATTAAGACACAATAACACGCCAAATAAATACTAATTCAGAAGTCAAACAACAAAAATCAAGCGCTGTGAAAATTTTGTAAATATAACGCTTTTTGTTGTTTGACTTCTGAATTAATACTTTTGAGAATTAGAACAGTTTTTCACTTACATTCATACATATGAAATATCTAAAATACATATAATTCAGCTTGCTAAAAGTGCTAGAATTATGTTTAGTACTTTTAGTGAGCTGAATTCTCTTACTTTGGTTGATCCCAGCAAACTCTGTTGAATAAAATTGAAAAGCTAAAATTACCATAGCACAATTATAAAATTAACAATATTGTATTGACAAGAAATGAATTTTTAAGAAACTGTGGAGAATAAGTTGAAATTGGTGCAACATTTTTATTAGTTTTGAAAATTTCTAGAAGTATCTAGATATGATTCAGTTGCTAGTTTTATAGAGTTTGGCTGAATTAAGAAGTTATTGCTCTTATTGTTATTATTTTTTCTACATTCAATTGAGAAAGAAAATAACATCAGTAAAAATCTTTTTTTGATTAATCCTCACCTTTCAGGAAAGTTAAAATATTGAGAAACTTTATCACATTGAAAAACTGGTATAGAAAATTCATGTTTTTAAAGCAAAAATATGAAATGAAATAAATGACCTCATGTTGTACAGAACATGAAAGTTATTCCTCACACAAGAGTCCCATAATTTTCATGAGCTTGTATGTTCATTGTATGTAATGGAACTTACAGAAATCATTTGCTACTTGTAGTTATTCTAAGAATATTTAAAACTCAAGTATTAAACATACTTTCTAGTAATTGATAACACAGGATGTATTCTCTTATTTAATGATTAATGCATTATATAAATGTACCACATGTGGAAGATATTTTATTAGATAAGTTTATTCAGATTTTGTTGCAGTCTAAAGATATGAAGAAACAGTTTAAAATGGTTATGATTATATATTGTGTCTGACATCATTCTTTTCCTCTTTTTCCATATTCCTCCATTTTAATTTTATAGAAGGGACCTTTTGTCCACTGCACAGTAGAATTACGTATCTGAAGCAGTTGGAACCATTACCTCTTGTGACATTGGAATAAGCTAGATGATATGGTTACCTTTTTATTCTGTAAGCAAAATACATATTGTTGCATGCGTATAGGTTTGTAATAGATTGAATGCATGTCCAGTGATAGGTTCATAAAATTTATTTTATCAATTTTATCAATGAAATACTTCAGAGTTTTGGAACCTCCCACGGAAATACTCTTACAGGTGTTCATAGTATCATAGCGTACAGTCAGTTACACTTCAAACTACTAAGAATGGTAAGCATAACGCAATGCAAAATGCCTGTAAAGAGTGAAACTAACCAGATATATCTCAGTGCTTTGATCTCAAGCTGAAGTAACTTCTTAAAAACCATGATAATCTCTTGATCAGGAATAGGATATTCTTCATGCCACTTTGGGAAGTAGTCAATGCCAAAGAGGAGTTATTTGTTTCCATCAGCAGTTCGTGGCAGAAGTTCCAGGATATCAAAGGTGATGCATTCAAAAGGCATTCCTGCAATTTGACATTTCAGTTTCCCTCGGCTGTGTTTCTTCTGCCCTTTCCAACCAGCACAAACATCGCATGATTGGCGCCACTTTTGCGTATCAGTTCTTCTCTTACTCCAGTAGAAACGCTGAAAAACTATGCAAAATCTTCATTATTCCGAAGTAGCCTCTTGTAGGGTTGCTGTGTAGTTCTCCAAGGATGTTCAGGATCTTGGAAGTATCAGCTGCCATTGGAATGCCTTTCCATCATCCGATTTGAACTTCTGGTACAAAATGTGGTTGTTTTGAATCTGGAGGCAATCCCAGAGAGCCCAATAGTGTTTTGCCATAGGACTATAGATTGAAATATTCTGTCAGTAAGTTTCCTATTTGAAGATTCAATTCAGTCAGTTAGGGTTTAATGTCACCATCTTCGAACTGATCTTTGACTTCTTTGTCACTCCGTGTAGCTCCATCAGCTGATGAAGTTGTAACTTATGCGACTGGATTTAGCAGTGCATTTCACTTTGGCCCTGGAACAGTATTGGGAGCTTTTTGGGCTGGGTCTTATAGACGGAGCTTCGGTATTTCCATGTGATGATCCCTTCTAATGACAGATAGTGTGTTTGCTCTCAGAGACAAAATGCAGTTCATTATTTTTAAAGTCAAAGGAAAAATTCTGTTTCCTTAGAAAGTCCAATCCAAGTATGATAAGATCTGTAATATCTGCCACATATACCGAGTGATCATAGGCAGCACTTCCAAAAGCGATGTTAATGTTCAACTTCCCATCAATTTCGATTTTATCACTAGACATAGTCAGGAGGGCTAAACAGGGTGCAGTCCAAATGAGTTTACCTTCCAGTTATTGAGCCAAATCTTTCTGGATGATGGTATAACATTGTCTCCAGTGTCAATGGTCATACTACAAGGAACTCCATTGATATATCACATGATGAAAAGTCCTTTCTCATTATATGGTAACCTTCACTACACGAGATGGCCAGTAATTTTTCCTTGAACCATGCTGGGGAGCGGTCAAATTTTCCATACCTTGGGGTGTTTTGCAGTTCCTTCATACATGGCCTTCGGCACCACAGTTCGAGTAGTCTAGGGTTCGTTTCTGGTCATTCCTAATCTGTCTCAAGGCACATTGACTTGTCCGGTTAAATTATATAGATGAGCAGTCAATTGATCCACTCACTCCTGGACTTGAACAGGTGCGTGTACAAATTTATTGCTGAACTACGTCGAATTTCATAGCATTCATTGGAGCAGATTTTAAATCCTTTACATCTACCTTTCCCAGAGTTTTCTGTGGTGCCATCTGTGAAGTACTGCAGGGACAGGATTTCCTGTGTTTCTGATGGGCAGTCCAAAAAGGTAAGATAGACAGGATTTCAATATCCATAGTAAGACTTTAATTGAAGCCTGCTCTCACCAAAGTATAGCCGCAAGGTGCCAAATAGAACTTCAAAGTCTGACCTCTGGTTTTCAGGCAGAGTTTGAAGGATATCCACTGAGTTTGCTCTCAGAGAAGCAACAAGATGGCAGGTCTTAGCTTGTGAATCCCATCCATTTGCATCCATCACTATAGAGAATTGTGTTTTATACATTTACCATGAGGTTTTACCATCATATGTGGATAGCTTTAGAGAGGGACAAAAAGGCATGGGTAAAAAATTAAAACCATCAGAATTGTTCCTGTTCGTATGAATCTTTCACCAGGACAACCTATCTGTGCACTAGGGTGTGTTGGCAGTGGGAAAACTGTGGGATTTGGGTTACGATTTGCTCAGGCTTCCCCCCATTCTCCCAATTTGGCACTTTCAGACTTTCATCTGCTCTCAAACTTGAAGAAATTTGTTTCTGGGAAGTGTTTCACATCCAATGAAGAAGATGAGAGGGTCTTAGATGAATATTTTCATGAGCTTCCATACTCTCACTTCCGGGAAGGAATGTTGATGCTGGGCCAAGTGTGTTGAAGTCAAGGGAGATTATGTAGAAAGATAAAATAATCTTTTAACTGAAAGTTGCAGTCTTTCATTGTCAGGCCGAGAACTTTTCACCTTACCCTCATATTTTTTTAATAATCAGCAATTTAATGTTTTAAACTGCATTATGCAGGTAAAATTCAAAAATGAGTTTGCAGTGCTTTGTAGTCTGTTATTCATCAAAATAATAAAACAAAAGAAATTAATTCTGTTTCTGCTGTTATGGTTGGCTGGTTTTAGAACATGTATTAACTTTTGGTGCATTGAAGAATTGTACATTGTACATTTTGAAAGACAATTCCATTGTCTTTTTCATAATAATTTGAAAATGAACTATCAGTTTATGATGATTCTTGAACAAAATAGCTTTTCATAAACAGCCTCCATGAAGATCTCAGTTCTAGGTACACTCTACCAACAATATAAATTGAATCTCGCTGAATGACATTAGAGATATATATAATTATAATATTATATAGATATATATATTATATATAATTATAATATTATATAGATATTATAATTTTTTCCTTATCGGAATGGCATGACTTATCAAGGGGAGGCAAATAAACAGAAAAGTATTTATGTTAAACAGTGATGCTGAAATCAGATTCCTTGTGGATTATTAGAATATCAAGGATAGGAAGGTTTAATTGTAACCAGATTAATTGAATTTATAACAGATAAAATTTTGGGTAAATCTTCTTTATTATCACCTAAAAGCACAAAAATGTTATCTGTGTAACAAATCCATGCCTGAAAGATGGTTTTTCATATAATTTGACCTAAAAATAGTGCATATAAATGCCAGCAATAAACTGGAGTAAGAGCATTGACCATACCTAGTCCTTCAATTTGGCAATAATAATTGGAAAAAAATGGCATTTGACTCAAAGAAATTTTTCAGAAATTAATTCCTGTTTCAGGATATGGAAAATGGAATTCACAAAATCTGATTTCCAAGACATTTTAATAGTCTCTTCCCTGAAATATTAGTAAACAATTGTTTAACGCTAGAAGAAACCATGATTGAGCTCCAGGGAGAAATATCTTTATCGACGTCTTCAAAGAATTTTTTGTAGGATGCCTATTTATTAATTTCCTTCCCTAGGAATTACTTGTAAAAGTCTTCAGCCATCTTATAAAAGCTCTTTCTTAACACACGTTTGTGATAGATTTGCATTTACGATTTATTTCATTAATCCCCAAAACAAGAAAGTTTAAGAGTTGATTACTATTTAAAATTGTTTGCAATGAAATCTACCATGCAATTTTTTAGTTTTCATTTTATAAATTTATATACATTTTACCTCAGTATTTCATTGTAAATGCTGAATTCCTTAATTTTATGGGAGTTTAAAATTCTAACATCCAAAAATGCATGTGTTATAAAAATTTGAAATTTTTGCAGATAAAAAAAAA